CTTTATGATGGCAAATTTCGTCGAAATTACACAGCCTGAACAATCGGACGGGCAAATTTAGATTTCTAGGTGAGTACTCAACATCCATACGGAATTATGTGTGGCGCACCCATAGCAAACCGTGTTGTGTACGCGCGCGTCAGTCTCACGCGAAGGTGTGTTGAAGCGCATGTGCAGTGCTGTATTGTTACAAGCTGTATGACTGTTGTAAATTTGGCCAATCATTGCCTTCCATTGGGCTGGATCAATGCTGGTTCAGGGGCCATTTTTTCGCTTGTTCTTGAAGCCAGTCTTTATATCACCGTTAATGCACCCCCACGTGATCGAGTCTCAACAATCAGAAACCATCAACTCTCCAAGGTATATTATTTGCCTCATGACGTTTGTTGGGCGCGCAGCGTGGCTGGCCATACAACACGAGGTCATGAACTGAATAATGCATATTCATAATCTTGCCAAGCGCGCCTGCATAATGCATATATTACAATGCGGCCGCCATTTTGAAATCGCATGGAGGAAGTTTTTGGACGATTTTCGTGGGCGATGATGACTGAATGTCATCTTTTTGCCAGATGGATGAAGATTTTGGGATAAAAGAACGTTTTTATCGAAAAGGTATGAGTTCCTCTACGACTAGGAACCTTAACTTTGGAAATTTCTGTCCTTGATGAAAAAGATAATCTCGATCAAAATCGGTAGCAAAATCGCTACATCAGAGTTCAGCGTGTAGGGGAGCATTGGCGGTCTGGCCGTACTACAGAGCTTGCGATAGTACTGTACGGCCAGATGCAGTCGGGCTACCTGACACTGTACTCGCCTTTAACCTAAGTTATATTGCAAGGTGTGCCCTCTATATAGGCTAATCAGAAAGTGCTCTCTTTTTCAGCTGTTTATTTTATGTGAAATTTCCAGATTCTTTGCACACGTTTGCGTATCAAAATTTCAACATGAAATTTCACGAAAATTAGACATCTGAGAAAGGCAGCACCTTCTGATTAGCCTATAAAGAGGGCGAGTACTGTAGGCCGGATGCTTCTTAAGCAAAAATAAAGGCACAATTGCAGAATACCCCGCCACTCAATCTATCCACCTCATAGCGGCTACGGAGTAACGGTTGATTGCCCTCAATAAACCTTCTCAGCGCTACTTGTATGTACTATGCGACATGCTCCACTGCACTCCCACTCCGTATCCGCTTAGCGCCACACAGGGTAGGCCTAGTTGGTTTGGACTTCGAATTTTTTTCAGCAACTCTTATTCCTTTTGTGTTGCTTCGTTCTCAAGCAAATTCAAGGGGACTCCCACTCCGTATCCGCGTAGCCGCAACAGGGTGGTTGGTGGTTACTATGCGTCATGCTCCACTGCACTCCCACTCCGTATCCGCGTAGCCGCCAACAGGGTAGGCCTAGTTGGTTTGGACTTAGAATTTTTTCAGCAACTCCCATTCCTTTTGTGTTGCTTTGTTCTCCAATAAGGACCCTCACTCAGTATCAGCGTAGCTGGCATGGACTTGAATTGTTTATTTTCCAGTGATTCCAACCTTGTAGCCAGAGAATGTAGGGGTGTATTTGTGTAAGGACACATACTGGAGAACAAATTAGGGCCATGGGGACCAAAAAAAAATGGTTGTATTAATTTGTTTCCCTTTTGTAATGCTCGACCGGCCTTCCGTCAATAGAAAATAATAATGAGAAGATAAGTTTTATAGCATCTTTCCTTTATTAGCAGCTTTATGTTGGTGATAAAGAGAAAGTTAATGTTAGTTACACGGTGTCCACTTCTTGCTTGTTACCAGACCATAATTGTCAGAAATGGAGATTATTATAGTTTCTTTTTTGCAATAAAGCTATTCATTGCTGAAAATCAAAAATTTAGAAGATTTTTGTGTATAATATTTTGTCGCAAATTTAACAAGTGGACACCGTAACTAACGTTAAATAAATGAGAGATTAGCTGTTAAACCATTTTAATAGCAGATCAATTGAAAATGTTATGACCTCTCACAGTAAGGACCTCAGAGGGAAATTCATCCATTAAACATTATGTTCCTTTCACGATCTTATATGGACCTCTTTTGACAATCTCTGTATCAAAATGTTACGTAAGTTACATGTGGGACAACACATAGGCCTTCACAATTACATAACTTTATATTATTATTGAGCCCCAAAACTGATATTAAATTGTTGTTTCTCCATACTACCAAAGGGACCCATTTAAACTAATAAACAGCAATATTCCACTTGAAAGTTGTTGCTTGGAGATATTAACTATTGTATTATACAAAGTGCACATTGTACCGGTAACTAATGCAACTTTGGTGTCCAGCTGTAAATAACGTTAAATCACATGCATGGCATTTGTACTCCTATTGCTCTGGATATCACAGTAAATATTTTAAACTGCTAGATACTCCTTAGAAAGTAATGTGCTCTTCAAAACCATTTAGGTATTATTTACTTTTCTACCCTGTAGCTTTATAATTACGTTAGTTACACCATTTAGTGGACACCATTTATCATTAGTTACATAGTGTAGAATGACTGATTTTTTTTTATGTAGATCAAATGTCCTAATTGTGATTAGATATATTGGTACACATGTAGAGTACAACATCACTGTTAGAGTATTTGGCCTTCCCTCCTAACACATAATGAATCAGGCATTCATTATGTTGAATAAAAATGGACACCAAAGTGGTGACCCACCCTTAAATCTGAATTAAGGAAAGGTCAAGTTTAAAAGTTTATGTCATTGTGTATAAAGGAACTGATATTATGCTTCTGAAGACTCTATCATCAGAAATTACGGTTGGATATACAAAGGAGGGTTTATAAAGACCTTAGTAAATATGCTAAATAGGTGGACACCAAACGTAACTTCGTTAAATAGTTTATCTGGCGTCCCAGTGCACAAACCAGAAATATTTTGAATACAGGTTACCTGTATTTGTAAAATTCATTCCATTACTAACAACTACATACAATATTCATCTGAGAAATAAATTGTAAGTGTGTTTTTAATTCATTCAAAAAGGCTTACTTGTTATGTCCAGTTTTTAAGTGGTATTTCGAGGTAAATTTTCACCAAAATCAAGAATTTTACCACTAAAAAATGAAAATTGTGGATTTTTAAAAATTTTACTTATCCCTTCATACTTGTACCTAACATGTTAAACCACCAAAACAGACTTTACCCAACTATTTAGTTATCAGGAGTGACAACATTGAGTTCCACCCTAAAATTAGCCAGTATTGTGTCCTTACACATTTCCGAGTGGCAGGGTATTCTGCAATTACTCCAAAATAAACTACATGTACAAACTAAGCCTAAATGTGAAAATCAAAATTTGACAAAGTTCGACATGTTTTTGTACATGATGGAAGTGTGGACTTTATTTACGCAGGTAGTCCAGTAAATTGGCTACATTTATGGGGCTATTTCCCAGGCCACCTTAATCATAGTCAAAAGGCTTATGGGGTCAGGGAACCAGACAAGAGCTTTAATCATCTACTGTGCGTGCGTCAACTTTGGCAAAGCGCACACGGCTGTTGCCTGTCATTCCAAAATCTTTGACACTCTGTGATGTACCCAGATGCAATACGCGGCTGCAAATGAAGAGCGCACACAATGCAGAGGCTTCAAAGATTTTGGAATGACAGAAAACAGCAGCGGAGCGCTTTGCCAAAGTTGACGCACTCTCAGTAGATGATTAAAGCTATTGTCTGGTTCCCTGACCCCTTTGGCCTATTGACTATAATTAGGGTGGTCGGGAAACAGTCTAGTAAATATCAGAGACGCCATGCTTTTCAAAACCAAAGATACCGAATTGAACGATTTGTGTTATTTAGCAGTCATACTATAGCTGGGTTGATTAGATTTTTAAAAATGTTTATGGTTTTCCCATCTCTTCCCTGTGAGTAGCCGTGGTTTTGTTTGTCCGCATTGTAAAAGATAATTTTCATTGTCCCAATTTCCCTTCTATATCAGCCTTCCCGATATCGCTTTTAATATCTAATGATTTGCAAATAATGCCCCTGGCCCCCTACCAACCTGGTCACGGCAGTGGATCAGAATATTACTACTTAAGGCTTGCGCAAAAAACGGTTGACCTAAGTTGACTTACCTGTAGATGTTAAGTTCATAGCCTTCTTTTATTGCATGTTGAGAATAGCGGTCATTTTACAGACACGATTGCCCCAATTAGTTTCAGTGTTGTCATTACCAAAATGTTAAGTGATCATTAACCAACTTGAAAAAAAGTACCCTGACAATTTTACACTTATCTAGACATCGACACCATTAGATTTTTTAAAATGATTTTAGAACCCGAATCTCTGAAACAAAATGGTAGGGTCATTAGCATGTTGACAACTTTTCAAGTATCATTCAGATGATGCCTCTGAATGTAGACGAGTACTTAAAAACATGCTAAAATGCTGTAGAACTGCTGAATATACATTGGCACTTTAAAAGGCTTTGTGATAAATTGTTAACTTGAACAATTACTGAATTGGAAGGGCTACTGTAAAATTAAATGACATGTGGTACATGACACTGAATATGTATCACGATTCTATTCTATGGAACACCTTCTCGTGGTCTATATATAATGAGAGAGGCACTATCAAAATGTTCAATAGTTGCGTTATAATTTGCATCTCAAATAAGCATCTGAGATTTTGTATATTTCTTTCCGACATATGCCACAGATTGATCCCTATGATTTAAAAAGGGCATGATTCGTTCTTGAGTACATGTAATACTTTTCAAACGAATTGAATAAACTACACTGAACAAAATGATACGTCTCCAGTGTTTTTTTTTTTAATTACATACCTCCGCCCCCTTGTTTTCTAAGGTCGGGCGAATCAGAAAATTATTTTTGAAAAAAGGACCGAAAAGCTTTTTATTTTATGGGTTTTCTTTTGGGGGGGGGGGGGATGGGAGTTTTCAGGTACTCAGACTGGTGTGGGGCTTTTCCTGTAGTGTGTATTTCCCGTTTTCAGGTGTGAACTGTATTAACCATAGAGCAACCCCGAGGACAGGCACACCGTAGCCCTGGAGCTATAGGGGCGCACATAATTGGAGAGAACGCGTAACGACAAGTACTTTGTGTTCTCGGGCGTTTAATTGTCGGGCTTTTGTTGAAATGTGTGAGTACAGCACTACGTCATACTCATTTATACACTATATAGGCTACACTTGCACCCGAACTGAGGGAGAACAACATATTCTTGCTTGAATGGCAATGAATGGACTGATCCAGTAAGCACCGCCCCATGGTGTTCTGACCAATCACAGCCGTGATTTATATCCAACATGCTTGCACTAAAGTCCGACATGCTCCGACATGCAGCGTGGCATTGGAGAGGAGCACGTGTTAATTTGCCCAGTGCGCAGTGGGCGGGGCTTGCTGGATCGGTCCATTCACAACGTAAAAGCAGATAATGCCGTGTCTAGGTTTTATTATATGTCTATGATATTTTTGTTTGCGGATCTCGTTTGGGAAAGCTCCCTGGCTGCGTGCGCGCCGAAACGAAAGCAATATTCCGATGTTCACTTCTCAACGTCATAATCTTCAATTATTTGTGCACAGTGTTTTGTCTGTACAACAAAAATGAACTTCTCGTTCAACTATTTCTTTCAGAGACTAGTACCTGTGCGGTATCCACGGTGATTATTTTACAAAATTTTGTCTATGCCTCTGTTCTGCCTTGCTGAACTTACGACCTTTTTTACGGAAAAAAGATGTCTGCAAAATCGATTTAAGAATAAGTAGTGTTCTACATGAAACATTTCCATCAAAACAAAACAGGCACCGTATTTTCTTTGTGAAATGTCAGAGAATTGTTTCCCTTTGGCTAGCTTACATACACACGTGATTACGTTTTCACTTGGCATGTGGAGCGAAATTAAGAACAATCTTGTTCAAAAGATGGTCTGGATTGTGTTGTTTGATCTGCCACGTGGAAGACGCAAAATCCAATACACGTGACGTTAGTCAGTTGGTTCCGCCCCTTAATAGGTAAGACCTTGCGGTACAATGCGGTATAAACAGTGAATTTGTGGTTTGCGGTTTTTCATGGGCGCGCTTTAGCCGCTCTATTTTAACTTAAGTGGTGACTTTACAAAAGCGGTACTACAAAAGAATATTGTGATATTTTTCGGCGTATCGAATTCCACGATGTGTCAATTTTTATGCCCCGCGGCGAAGCCGAAGGGGCATACTGTTTCCGCCTTGTCCTTCCGTGGGTGGGTGGGTGGGTGTGTGTGTGTGTGTGTCCGGACAAATCTTGTCAGCGCGATAACTTGAGAAATACTTAACATATGAACTTCAAATTTGGCTTGTGGATTGTCCTTGGTAATCCTAAGAAGCCTTTTGCATTTGGGGCCGAAAGGTCAAGGGTCAAGGTCACAGTGGCTGAAACAATAGACATTTTGTCAGCGCGATAACTTGAGAAATACTTTACATATGAACTTCAAATTTGGTTTGTGGATTGTCCTTGGCAATTCTAAGAAGCCTTTTGCATTTGGGGCCGAAAGGTCAAGGGTCAAGGTCACAGTGACTAAAACAAAAGAAAATTTGTCAGCGCAATAACTTGAGAAATACTTTACATATGAACTTCAAATTTGGTTTGTGTCTTGTTCTTGGTAATCCTAAGAAGCCTATTGCATTTGGGGCCGAAAGGGTCAAGGTCACAGTGGCTGAAACAATAGAAATTTTGTCAGCGTGATAACTTGAGATATACTTTACATATGAACTTCAAATTTGGTTTGTGGATTGTCCTTGGCAATCCTAAGAAGCCTTTTGCATTTGGGGCCAAAAGGTCAAGGGTCAAGGTCACAGTGGCTAAAACAATAGAAATCTTGTATTTATTCTGAGATCATAGGGATTAAGGATTAATTCATATAAAACCTACAGAAGACACTAATGCTGTCAATGAACGTTCCATTTGACCAAGGTACATGTAAGTTGATGTTAGAGTGGTGTTATGTCATGGAAACAGTCACGGTTGCGGGGCATTTGTGTTTGTAAACACACCTGACTTGTTTTTAAAGAGATCGATACGATTTCCGATATGAAAATTAAATCGAAATATCGTGAAATATCGTCATACCGAACAGGCTTATACCACTCGATCACCGAGCTAACGGGATCGATTGGCTGGTTTGAATCTTATGTACAAATTCCATCTTATTAAAAATACTTCGCAATTCGATGTCGCGGTGACGATAAACACGTGAGAAATGCTAGCTCAATACAGCGATGACTGGTTCCTGCCGCGCCCACCGCTGTTTCGGCCAGTGTGTAAAGCGACATGAAGTTGTGCGCATGTGCCAGTTTTACATCGAGGTCAATTAAAATGCATAATTCATGAGGGGTGACCTGTGACAGAGGGACGATCTAAAACCTAAAATTATCGATAGGCCTAATAATGACATTGGGGCTTTTCAATTTTCATGAGTTTGTTCATAAGAATATCTGTGATGTAATAAACCCCAAAACCAAAGAAATGCGTATCAGCTTAAAATCTAAACTCAAATACAGACGCTCCGTTTCGGTGGTCATTGAAGAAAGGATAATTTTCATGACAAAATTGACTGTGAAGATGAGTATGGCCAAACTTAAAAAATGGTTTGTATAAATAATCAGGTTGTGATCTCTCTGAATCATGCGTTTTCGTAAGAGCAAACCCAGCAAGTGATAAAAAAAACTGTGTTTGAATATTAATTTTTTTTCAATCTTGAACAGAGTTTTCCACAACGCGATATTGCGGTCTAGTATGGTACCCGCGTAATTGAGTCTCATATATTGTTTAAGGACACTTTCGGTGATACACGGTTCTAGATTTCGGACCCTATGGGAAAAATCTCGGGGTCCAATACTGTTTTACATTTTAATTTTGCCGCGTATTGGGACCGAGATTTCCCCTCGGGTCCGAAATCTGGAGCCATGTATCCCCACAGCTTTATGTCGCTTAAGCAACAGCGGTGCGCCGCGCAGGACCAGTTTGGAAGACATGATGAAATTTTGGTAACCAGTCTGTGCATAGCTATGCGCTAGCGCATAGCATGGCAGGCCACGCGGTGCACTGTCAACTGGTCAGTCGGTTTCGACATTCTAAAAATGCCAAGAAAACACCGATGAAGAAAGAACATTTTTGCAAGTTAATTCACAGAACTTGATCTCTCTTGTCTGTGTATGTATTTTCCATGTTCAAGAGTTCATTTTGAGATGGCACTACTCGTATTTGGAGTGATACGATGCAGTGTGTTTCCCCACAATTGTCCACCGTAAAAACAAGGTCTGTCGCCCGCTGGCCACACATGCATTCACGCATTACTGAGTTTTGGCCAGTTTCCCGTCTTGACTAGTGTTGTGCATATGGCGCGCATGACCTGAATTTTCCATTATTTTTAAAGAATTATCGAGCGATAAAATATTAACAATAATTAAGGTAGGTTTTCTTCACTTTTTGTGGCAATTTTTTTGTATAGCTTTCGTAGTGCAATGAAATAGTTCAGGGCTAAAACTTCGCATATACCCCATTCAATCAACATAAAAAAATTGCAAAAAAATAAAATAAATTTTGACCGACCGACCCTATTTTTTAAAGGCGTGTAATCAGAAGTAGAAGTAATTTTTTTGGCCTAATATAAATGTGTAGCCAAAGTATGCCTATTCGGTTGAGCGCTAGTACGGAGGGTACCGTAGTTCCAGCGCTTCGCTCAGTAGAGCTATGATGTCCTCCATCAGCAGATGCTTTTTGCCGTGATGTTGTTTGAACCGTCATGACACGCTTAAGTTGTTGCGTATCGACTACTTCCGTGTTGCATTTAGAGTACACTTTTAAAATTCAATCCATCTATTTTGATTGTGTTCTACAAACACGCACATGAACATGATAAAGTCAAAATGTCTGCGCCCAGGATGGCTTGAAAGCGTCTCCGCGCGCAAGAATAAAGAGTTAGCGCTCTAGTAACTTAATATAGCTCTATGGTTTCAACGGAGTGGAACACCATAACACAGAAATTTATTGATGTAAATACATTTTATGCATCAAAATTAGGAATATCTATTGATAAACTAGGAGTTCCAAATCCCTTCTTGTCAGAATAAAAACACCCACGTGTAAACAAATGGAATAGTCCAAAAGGCTATCTGCACATGACATGCAAGGTGGGTATGGACAGGGTAGAAATATTTAAATCCCAAACTTGGGGTGAAGCTCTGTTCAGTTAAACACGAAAATGGAGGTAAAAGAAATACATTGAGGTGCATGTACATGCACCTCAATGTATTTTTACCTCCATTTAGTGTGCATATGGAAATATATTCTAATTCGTGCCTTTAAATCCCCTTCTTGTTTTTGTCCACAAGAAAAAGTTACGTGAACAAAGAACCTATTGATAGGTTTAATACATGTAGTTGGGGTCATGTATCTTTTCTTTGTGAACTCTGTCTTACTACAATAATCATAACCATTTTTTTTTTCAGAAGTAGTTTCGCTGAGGTGCACCCTACATTTCCACCATGGCTAAACAGTACCGCAGCCAAAGCTTTTATGTTGGACCACGCTTCTGTGACCTACAGCCCCTTGGTTTTGGGGGTGGGGGTCAAGTGTACTCTGCTATTGATGTGGAGTGTGATAAAAGTGTAGCCATCAAGAAGATAGGACTGGCCAACCAGAAAAATTGCAAGGTACCAGTTCCCATGTTTTGATTGGATGGTGATTCATAAAGAATCGCATTTAATCTTGTCTACACATCTTGAATCAGAACAATTCTTCAACTTCAAATAATTCCAGAATTGTATTAATACAGTAATCGTGTGTAAGATACTGGTAGATGTATGTAACCATAGGCGTAGGTAAGGGGGTATTTACCCCCCCCCCCCCATTATTTGTAAAGACTGCCTTTTTCCATTCAAATGCCTTTTTTTTCAACGGGCTTACCTCTCCCAATAATTTGTAAAGAGTGCCCTTTTTTACGAAGTGCCCTTTTTTCTGAACAAGTGTCTTTTCAAAAAAAGAATGTGTGTGCACTTTTTTGTGGCTCCTGCCGTTGTGGGTGCTTTTTTTTCTTCAGAATATCGCACATGTGTCGCCCTGAAAAGCACCATATATTGGCCCTTTGTGTGCATAATTGTCCGCCCCCATCGACTGATGCTACCAGCCCCCCCCCCCCCTTTTGATTCTACGGAGGCCAAGTGTCGGGAGAAAAATACCTGTTTACACTTCAAAAATGTGCAAGTGCCCTTATCAAAAATGTTTACCCCCCTCCAATAAAAACGACCGTGCTATGCCCCTGGTAATTCTCTCACAGGTGTATCAAGTGCTTAATTTCGGGGCCTGAACCTTATTTGAAGATTGGTATGATTGGGGAACTCATTGATAAACCCATTTATACCACGTAAAGAAGTTTGCAAAACTTTGGAGAATGTAACTTTAACATGCAGTGTCTATTTGTCTTGATGTCTTCAGGTTGCACTGAGAGAGGTGCGAATCCTTCGTAAGCTGCAGCATGAGAACATAGTCAAAATACACGATGTACTGTATTCTGATGGTGAGAGAACCAACCACTGTGAAGGTACTACATGTACATGTACTGAAGCACCTGCTTTGTACATAGTGCAGGAATTGCTGGACACTGACTTAAGGAATATCATTGCTGGAGGCACTCTCACCAGTGAGCATGCTCGGCTCTTCATGTATCAACTGCTTCGAGGCATGAAATACCTACATAGCGCCAATGTTCTGCATCGGGACCTGAAGCCGGACAATCTTTTGATTAATTTTGAAGATCTGGTGCTTAAGATTGGCGATTTCGGCATGGCCCGAATCCTTGATCCAGACTACTCACACAAGGTATTTTGCACTTTTTGGAAATTGTACAATTTCCTGTACATGTTTACTGAATCTTTTCAAGGGAAAATACACTGTAGTTCAAATTTGTTATGGTAATCTTCTTCTTTTTTTCTTTTTTTCCTGGACAATACTCCTAAACAGTTTATGGTATGAACTTGTAACTTTCAATATATATCGACCCTCATCCCTAGTGGTGCATGTTACTCTGACATTGTGATGACGTCATTGGTGTCAAATTTCAAGCAATGAAAGATTTCTAGATTAAATCTTTGAAAATCTTTATAAAACCAACCGTGAGAGATCTGAACTTGATTTTTGCAAAGAATTGATAGAATAATCCAGGATCTTCATTTTATCTTGTACATGTATGTGCTTTAATAATCACATGACCCTTCCGGTCGAAACAGGAAGTGCCTTATAATTTAAAAGTGGGTCATTCCATGTCAATTCAACATGATTTGGACCCGACCCTCACAGATTGAAATGATATTGGTGTGATGATTGGCCTGTATGAGAAACCCCTGAACTGAAATTTTTTGTAACTTGGCTTGTTAGTTTTTGAGATACGGGTCAACGAACTTTTGACTTATTAGCATGAACTCTGAACTTTAAATACTTGCATCTCCAAAACTATATAGCACCTACAAAGCGAAGTTGTACATCATATATATATTGTATATGCATAAGCTCTTCGAAAGGCCTCCGTTTCATGAAATAAAACCAAATTGTAGCATGAAGAGCAGACAAAATAGGTAACAAAATGACCGTTGACCTTGAATTACGAAAATAATTATGCTTCAAATTCCATAATTTTGGAAATTTTTGAGATGGGCACTCTTAAAGTTTTCAAGTTATGATTTTTTAAAGATAGCATGTCCAGGAAAAAAACTAACTTGCATAATTTCAAACAAATGTACAGACTGCATATGTGCAGGTTTACCTGTACACACTTGCCCTTTACAGCCTTTATGTGTTGTGTTGATTGTTTATGCAGCATCTTGCTACAGTGTAGCTCTAGATAATGGCATAACTACGGGGGTAGCAGGGAGGGGATGGGGGAAGCATGTGTCATCCAGTAGATGTCCTTACCCTGAGGTGTCTAACAGCCTTCCCCCCTCCTATGCTAGGCAACTAATCTAAACATGGAAAGGGAGCCAAGACCCAATAGAATTGATTGACCGCTAAAAAAAAAAAATCCCACAAGATTACCCTTTAAGGGGCGGAGCTTAATATCGGTAACGGAATTACGGACGGAGGACAAGCATATTTGAGTTCTTGCATAAATTAATAAAACTCTCTGAAGTTTTGAAATTTTAAAATTGGACACTACCTGTTATTTATAGAGTTCAGGGGTGTTGTTAACTACAATGCAGAACAAAGTTGAAAAAATAATCACTCTTTTCATAATTTGCATTTTAATCACGGTAACGGAATTACGCCTGGGCGGTAACGGAATTACGCCATAGGTTTACATGTAATAGGTAAATGCAATACTTTTACATTGAATTCAACATAAACTCATCACAATACAAATTTTAGAAGTTTATAAAATGCCACAAGGGGAAAGCTAAGTGAAAATTAGCAGATCAAAATGTAAATGTAGGCCTAAACATGTCTGGGCTTCATTTTAAGGTCAAAGGTCAAGGTCAAATGAAAGCAATATGTATATGTATATTTTTTTTTAACGAAAATCTAATTTTACTATGAACAATTGTATTATCGTATTTCACTAGTTTATCGTGGAAAATACAATAAAACTGCACTGGTTGGCATCTCTGAGCAAGGGAAGATGTTAAGTTATGCCAAGTAGAAGTACAAGTACAGTCTGGTACTCAACTTTCATATATACTTGTTGTGGAATATATTTTCTGTTGGTACCAGACAACGGCTTTGGCAACACATATTTAAAGGGAATGTACATCATTGGCTTTTGCTGTAATTTTAAGAAATGAACTATTTGAGGGGTTAGTATAATAGATCAAATATTGTTACACTGACATGTTTGAAGTTTTGCGTTAAAAAATGCTGGAAAAACCAAGAAAAAAAAAAACTGTTCAAGTAGTCTGGTTCCCTGACTCCACTAAAGGTAAAATGGATCAATTTATAGATGCCGGAAAATTGGAGGATAAGGGAACCAGACTAGCTGGCCTGCACCCGTTCATGAACATGTAACAAATAGCAAACAAAATTTGGACTGGAAAGAGTGTAAAGTTGGAGCAGTAGTTGAAAAATAGTTGGGTTTTTCCAACGGTGGTCGGCCGACCACCGTTGGAAATGTATACAAAAATATCATTTTCTTGAAAATTACTTCACACCAGGTGCCATAATTTTACAGGATGCTTTAGACTGTCATTTACCAACATCCTAGTAAGGTATTTTGTAAAAACTTGGTAGTTTTATTTTCTGATGTTTGAAAATGTTGTATATTCCCTTTAAGCATCCAAACAACTATTAGCATTTTTTAAATAGTAAAAAGAAAACGTAAAAGTAAAAAATATCAATGGAACACCTGATTATTTTTAATTATATAATAGCAAATTAAAGAGGGAAATGATTTAACAAGTAATTTAGTATTTAAAGTTATTGTCCAAGGTTACAAGCAAATCTCCTATTTAATAATATGTCATGTACATAATCTGGAGGAAATGTGCATACTTTGTGCATGCGTAATTCCGTTACCGTAATTCCGTTACCGTAATTCCGTTACCGTAATTCCGTTACCGTAATTCCGTTACCGTTTCGTAATTCCGTTACCACTTGGAAAAATGCCAAGAAATTACTATTTTAAAGTTTTTATTTTTCATTTATGTTTGTAGTAGGGTCTTTTCTAAACATACATGATTTGAAGAAAAAAAAACAAGAAAATTTGTGAAATAAGTAACTTTTGCCATTTTTTCGGTAACGGAATTACGTGCTAATTTTGACATTTTTAAATGAAGGCCTACACTATATATATATATATTTATATTTTTAGAATTTTTTTTAATGACCCTGAGTAATGTTAGTAACTTGTAACATAAAAATAAATCAAATCTTTTCCCTATAATTCAGAAAGTAATACATACACTAAATTTTATTTTTTTACTAAATCTGAACGTTTTTAATCATAAATTGCAAAAATCACTGTTTTTACCAGAAATATGTAATTTTTTTCAATTTCGTTTTTTGAACTGAATTCCCCATTTAATTGAGGCCTGGAAAAAGTACAAAAAGGTTTAATATGTAAATATTTATTTTTGACATTTTTTGCTCTCCCATGGAGAATTGCCCAAATACAAATTAGGTTTTTTTCCTGGACATGCCATCTTAAAAAATCATAACTTGAAAACTTTAAGAGCCAACATCACAAAATATTCCAAGATTGTTGCTTACATCATAAACTAACATCTGAAAAACAATTAAGAAATTTGAAGCATATTTATTTTTGTAATTCAAGGTCAAAGGTCTTTTCATGACAAGTGTATTGCATGAATTTGCAAAGTGTCATGAACATATTTTGCACTGTAAGTCATTGCAAATATTTTTCACAAAGTTTTGCTTTCATTTTTGGGACTCGAGTCTTGTTAGCTTTCGCTCAGGTCGAGTTGAGTCTTCTGGTAAGGGACTCAAGTCAAGTCGAGCTCAGTCATTTGCTCGCAGTGACTCAAGTTGAGTCATTTACCCATAGGGACTCGAGTCAAGTCTGGTCACCAAAAATTGTGACTCGAGTCGGACTCGAGTCATTACAACTCTGATAATCAGATGATGTGTGTGGCTAAGTTTGCGGTAATCATTTCAAAATTAGTGTTGACCTTAATATAGACAACACCTGTGGGTCATTCCGTGCCAATTCAACGGGTGACGTACATGTATGGTGCCATGGCACCATAGGTTTTGACGGGACATTGATAGACGCAAACTGGAAGTGCCTTAGGCCAAAAAAAAAATAATACTTCTGCATCCGGTTACCCGACCGACCCTATTTTTAGGCTGCGACCCTGAATTGATTGAATAAATAAAAATAAAAGCTTGTTGTCTTTTCTGTCTTCACAAAATACCTCTCAACAACCCATTTGCGTCAAAAAAATGCTTGTATATTTGTTTTCTTACTTAACATTAGCTATTTTTTTCAAAAGAAACCAAATTCGCTTCGCGATCTGTCATCATACCTCGCAATTCGATGTCACAGTGACTATAACCTTGCTCAGTGCAGTGACGACTGGTTCCCACCGCGCCGCGCAGGGGCCAATTTAGAACACATGATGAAAGTGTGGTAACCAGTCTGTCATGGCTATGCGATCGCTAGCGCTAGCATGGCTATGCATTAGGCACGTGCACTGTCAGTGTCAACTGGTCGGATTCGACATCGTAAAAATGCCAAGAAATGGAGATGGAGAAAGAACCTTTTTTGCAAGTTATTTCACAGAATTGATCTAGCTTGTCAGTGTATGTATTTTCCATGTTCAAGAGTTCATTTTGAGATCACACTACTCGTATTTGGAGTATATCACTCCAAATACGAGTAGTGTTTCCCGAAATTTTCAACTGTAAAACGAGGTCTGTCGGCCACGGGCAACACATGCACGGTGCATCACACACTTCGGTGTTTTGGTCAGCTTCCCTTCTTGACTAGCGTTGTGCATATTATTCGAAAGGCCTGAATTTTCCATTATTTTTAAAGAATTATCAAACGTAAATATATTGACAATAATAAAGGTAGGTTGTATTCACTTTTTGCGGCCATTTTGTGTATAGCTTTTGTAGTGCAATGGAAATAGTTCAGGCTAAAACTTCGCATATAATTGAATACCCCATTCAATCTGCATAAAAAAAATTGGCAAAAAAAAAAAATTCCGACAGACCGACCCTATTTTTGAAAGGCATGTAATCGGAAGCAGAACTATTTGTTTTCCGGCCTTATAATTTGAAAGTTAAAAAAACCCTGTGAACTTGCTTTCAATGATGTAAGTCTCTGGCTTGGTTGTAATTTACAAAAGAAATTACCGGTGACGTCATAAAATGTTAGAGCGCCATCTAGCGGCATGTTGAAAAGGTTTAAAAACAAATAATCAGTTGATGCATGTGGCGAAGTTTGCTGAAATCACTTTAGGCCTATAACTGATGTATATAATCAGCCTAATCTTTAGAACAAGTTAAGGTGGGAAAGATTGATGACGTCACCAGACCGGAAGCCCTTTAAACCTTTAAAAACTGCTGAAAAATCAACCGTGACAGATATAATCGTCGTCACGATGACGTCATCAAGTATCAGATTACAAGCAACCTACGATTTCTAGATTTCACCTTTAAGATTCAATATAAAGTCAACTGTTGTTTACAGGAGTTGATAGAATAATCCAGGATCTTCAGTTTTGATAACGTGCAAAATCACGTGACCCTTCCTTCCAGTTGAAACTGGAAGTACATTGTAATTTGAACTACAGGCCCGATTGGGTTGAAGGTTGGTATGTAGCTAAACCGGGATGTGTTATAGATGAAAATTTATGTGATTTCATGATGAAGTCATTACTTGACATGTGACAGCATAATTCAAAGCCCATAAGAATGTAACCACATTTTATATTACCATTATTATAAACAGAACTACACATCCTTCCTAGATGGAACTTAACTTTACATTTTACGTCACAAAAAAAGTTGCCCTGTGTTTGTCCACAAACATAAATCTAGTTTTATCTTTTCCCTGGAAAGTCTAATTATATAAACTAAATTTCAACAGATTTGATGAATTGGGCACCGCGACATTGGTGTTGCGAGTGCAATTTTAATAAATAAGTTCTACAAGTCGTCAGTGCACCGATTGTATGGTAGATGCACATAGGCTTGGATTGTAGTAGTGTACGGCTGGAAATCTGTATTGTAATCATAAACTACGTCAAACAGATCTTCAAGGTTGTTGCACGTGGAGTTCAACTGCAATGATTTCCTGCATTTTTTAAGGATTCAGATTTTAGTTGTACAGAATTGCACTGCTTTAAAAATCAGGATGATGAATCTGGGGATGGCGAAGAGAGCAAGAAAAATTTCAGTGGTGGTTGTGAGACCACATGTACGTGTTTGCGCAGTGTACAAAATGTTCTAAATACGCACACATGTTGCTCAAAATTTCTTCGAAATACGGCACGGCTCATGCGCATCATGAAAATTTGACTCACAAAATGCCGATGAAAAATAGAGAACTACATGTATGGGGGCGTCATTGTAAAGGATTCAGTGCATGAGAGATCGAAGTGAATACAGATTATTTTCCAGAATTTGTCTTTCGATACTGGACTATAAATACACACATTTGGAGTAGAACAAGAGCTTGAACAACACCAGGAGAAACCAGAAAGTGTTAAAATTATAACTTTAAAAGGGCTATTTCTATGACTATTTTGCATTGCCCTTTTTTACGAATGGAAGAGGTACACAGACTACCGTAGGCACTCTGCTCTCGCCCCATCTATCTGCCCCCCCATGAAACATTCAGTTGTGTAGTGCAAACAAAATTACACAGGGTAACCGTTTTCTGCGTCCATGTTTATGTCCATACATGTATCATGTTACATGGGTAATGATGCACCAGTCATTGTGTCCGTCTCTTGTGTCATAATGTTGTTTTGTTCTATTTAATTTCACTTAGCTTCAAACACTGAAATGATGTTACTGGTCATTATCTCCTGTCACTAGCAACAAATTTGGCTTGTCTTGATCTGCTAAAAACATTTTATAAATCTTTGCCCTGATTACCATCATGCAGTGATTACCCACATAACTCTGGTGACAGGATACCAGTCATGAAACATCCCTCAGGAAAATGGAAAGGTTGTTGAAGATCACCCGAGTCAGAAACTCATCTCAGTGAGTGGAAAACACCATAAGAAGTCAACCAGGGGTCTATCTATCTACATATTTTACAGGAGGGTGAAATTACAGATATAACGATTTGACGGAAAGTTAGGACTGAGATTTCTTTGGCTGAGAAGCTTTACCATGGAAACATTCGCTGTGATGATATGTGCTACACACAAGACAACAAATCTACGTGTATAAAACAGTCATAACCAGGTGGGGTACAAGGCTTCAATTGTTTTGATCTAGCAAGCGATTACCCATGTAACATTTTGACGGGTGCAGTTATGTGGGTAATTGTATTTTTGACAGTTTGCGTGTATTTACAAGCGAGCTCGCAGCAGTTATGTCTTATATTTACATCTAGGAAAAAAGTCAACTCTCATACATTGTTAGTGTAGTGTAATACAGAGACTGAACAGAGAACACAAGATATAGTTTCCTGCCCATCAGGAAATGTCACAATATTTAGTTAACAACAAACCCGTCAGCCAATGGTTTTCGTTTTATTTCTGATATATCTTTAATACATACCGGTATCTCTTCTATGTGTGACCGGGTTTAAAGTAAAGGTGTAGAGGAATACACTGGGTGGCTTCTGGCTATATCCTTCCTGATGTTTATTCTAAAAATAGACAGAAATTGCATGTTTTGAACGGTCTTCGCCAAACAGTGATTTAAACCTCGGCGCGAAACTGTAGGTAAGTGCACCTCGCATAATTTAAATGATAAAAGCCACGCAAGAGTGACTACATTACGATGTAAATTAACTTATGAATATGATAGTGAAAAAATAAATAGAGGGGGGCTATATTATTTATACTCGTGACACTCTTCTCCTTTTTGAAAAAATGTCGTCCTCAACTGATTACCATCATACAGATACAATCATACATTATTCTGTGATGTTACTTACCCTATTCAATCTACTTATCAAACCGGGCACTGGTTTTATAAACAGTCGTCAAAATCAATCCATCAATAAAATCGAGGAATATACTCCCGTAACACCACAAAGTAATTATATACAAGTAAAAAATAGATAATTTATACAAAATAAGGAACACAAGGCTTGACTTGTGTGCGTCTTGTACTCTTTGAGTCGGATGTGAATCAAATTTCAACTAGAATAAATAATAAGTCAAATGAACAAAGCAAAGATATCAACACTTTCAAAAATCTTTGATATAGATTAATCATCATAACCCGGAATACAGTAATCCAAACCAAATCAGGTAAATACCTAAACAATACATGATAAATCCAACAAAATCAATGTACATGTACATAGGCTAATAGAAGTACTGAATAATTGCTGAGAATGAGAGCCAGAGAATATTATTTGGGGTTGTGTTCTTGCAGCAGTAATCTGGGGCCAGCTCTTCGTCTTGCTTCAGCCATTGCAGGTCCTTTCCACCTCTCCAATATCAGTTTTCCAGCTTTCAACCTGCTCTTGTATTCGTCTGAAGTCAGATATCTTGTGACCCGATGTTGCCCCGATCACCCAGCGTTTGTACTCAACAAACACGAATCTCTGGTTGTGTTCATTGCATTTGCACTGATATCGAAATAAAGTAAAGACAATTGTATTTCTGTGAAAATAAAAATAAAGACAATATTTTTATGGTCTGCACAAAGATTGAAGAGCATGTGTCGCAGCGTCTTGGTGCAGTGCTATGATGGTTGGTTTTGTGTATGTCTGTATACTTCACTACAAATATGGCAAAATGGAAAATGTGTTAAAACTTCCCTGACAGGTAGTCTGAGTATCACCTGTTATCCACGTAACCAAGTCTCCTGTATAGGCCTAATGTCTATATGTCTAAACCATAGAGCTATATTAAATTACTAGAGTGCTAACTTCTCATTCTGCACGTGGAGACGCTTTGAAGCTGTCCTCGGTGCAGACATTTTGAATTCATGTGCGTGTTTGTAGAACATAATAAAATTAGATGGATTGAATTTTAACGATTTCCCAAAAAGGGCATTTGCATATCCGTGCTGAAATGTAGACACATATTTTTTGGAGTGGGGTGGGGCTGGTATCATCTGTCGATGGGGCCGCTGTTCAAAACCGATGATTATGCACACTAACGGACAATATATGGCACCTTCCAGGGTGATTCATGCGCGAAATCCAAAAAAAAAAAAAAAAAAATGGCACTCGTAACAGTAGCTGGCACAAAAGTGAACAATTTCTTTTCTTCAAATAAAAACCACTGGAAATATGTTGTAAACTTCATAGAAAATGCTGAAAAAAATTTGTTAAAATTTTGAAAATGTTCATTACTTTTTTGAAAATGACCAAGTATTTTGTGATGAAATATACATGTAGGAGACATTGCTCATGATTGTACCATGTGCATACATGTATGTATTTAATGAAAGAGTCGGCAATACTTGAACATGCATAAAGAACATGCATATACACTGTATCTCTACTTTCCAGGGCCATCTCACCCAAAATGTCTCAACTCGCTGGTACCGATCTCCAGAGCTCATCTTCTGCCCATGTGACTACACAGAGGCCATAGACGTGTGGTCTGCAGGGTGCGTCTTTGCTGAGATGTTGACTGGTAAGCCACTCTTTGCTGGGGAGCATGATCTGGACCAGATGCTCCTGATCCTGGAAATAATTCCAGTCAGTGATGTAGATCTTGTGGAAGTGGAGGACTCCATCCCAAGAAAAATGCTCAAGAACTACAAGGGGACACCTCGTATTTCTCTGTGTGATGCACTTCCAGGTGTTGAACCAGATGGTAAAGAGAACTCCTAAATCTGTCAAAGCTTTCATTAAAGCTTTGATACTGAACATTTTAATCCTTAAACGTTCATGTAAATTCCATTCCAAAGTCAGTACCAATTTTTAAATGAAGTTGCCTGTGATTCTAATGATGGACTTTTCACAACATTTGTGACAATATGAAAGCTGTGTTTTTAATTTTTTTGCTTGAGACATTCCTTCAAGACTCTGCAGAAAACCAAATTGGAAATAGTTCAGTGGGATTTCATCTTGTCCCTGATTGGAACCTGAGCAAGTGCATGAAGTCATACATATACAAATGGACATCACGATGATCAGTTGATATTTTTTTCATAGTGTTCACATATTTTGTACTTGCACAATTTGCTATATAAAATCAGATCAACTTGTAACGTGGCAAGATTCCAAGAAACAGTCCATTTCATCATGTGATGCCATGCGCTTAATGTTTTTAAACCCCAAAGTTATATTTGGTGAACATAACATCATTGACATGCTAAATTCAAAGACATTGTACATGGTTTTCTGGAGTTGCAGTGAATTGACCTATCGCCTTTTCGAGTAAGCCATGCCCATTAGACAACCCAATGGAAATTTGTACGTTACATTTTGTTTGTCTCAGATTTTGTGCATTCTGCGTCCATTTGTCTGCGTCAACGCCATTCTATCGCGATAGGTTAATGGGGCTGATCCCCGATCACCATTTAGGGCTGATCCCCAATCACCGTTTTGAAATGGTAATTTTTTTTCTTTGTTGGCTTTTCAACAAATTTTATGGTAAAGTCTTTCTTTTTGTTCAGATTTTTTCCGGCTTTTCGCAAATTTGTGAAAAAAGCCTTTGTTTTTGTTGGCTTTTTGAGCGGAAAAGCCTTTGTTTTTGTTCTGATTTTGTTTTTTTCTTCTTTTTGATCTTTTTGGGTCCACCCCAGTCCCATTGACTTTGCACACATTTTTGGTGTGATACACTTTTGACCTAAAACAAAGTCCAATTCCAATGAAACTTATCTCAGGTAAAGATACTATAGTGAAGTTGTGTCTCGAAGAGTGACGTCATGATTACGTCATCATGGGTCATGTGACATCATCAAAAAAGTGCATATTTTGAAGGCCTATATCTACAGAACTGTAAGTCCGATGGGGTTGAAACTTGGCATATTTGTAGACCAGGATGTGTTATAGGTAAAAATTGAGGTGACGTCACAATGACGTCATCGTGCGATTAAATATAATTTTTTGAATTTTTGGAGCTTTAAGCCATATCTCACGAATGCAACTTGCAAAATTGAAAATTCTTTTTGTATTATGTTTGTTAGGTAATATGTGTATCCCCAAAATTTAGAAAAAAAGTTTGACGTCACGATGACATCATCAAAAATGCCAATTTTGAAAACACATATAAGGGAAGGCCCAATTGTCATGAAACTTGGTGGATAGGTAGATGGTGTCACAAGTATGCGAAATCTGAAATGACGTCACCATGACATCATCGGTTGATTTTTAATGATTTTTTAAATATTTAAAATTTTATTATACTAACAAAATTTAACAGTTTGTTTCATTGGATTAATGTCAAACTTGGTGCATATCAATACCACATTAAAAAAAAAATGGCACTGACAGGTATTGTTACGATGACTTCATCATGGGACACGTGACATCATCACAGACGTGCATACATGTATTTGAGGTCTTATATCTACAGAACAGTAAGTCCGATTGGGTTGAAACTTGGTATGTAGGTAGACCAGGATGTGTTATGGGTAAAAATTGAGGTCAAGTCATGATGACTTAATAGTGGGATTTTATATGAATTTTTGGAAGACGTATCTCATGAACGCAACATGCACAATTCAAAATTTGTTTTGTATTTGGTTTGTTAGGTAAATAGGTATACACAAAATTTTTTAAAATTTGTGACGTCCCGATGACATCATCGGGACGTCATCAAAAACGTGAATTTCCAAAACACATACATGTATAACATATATATTAGAAAATTCTTGTACCGTATACTTTGAAACATTGTACATGCATCATCTGGGACGTGTTATTGATAAAAGTGGTAATAGATATGAACTTACTTCCAACGGTGTTAGTCTCTTGGCTGATAGTATTCTTCAAATCATCTACCGATGACGTCATGCAATCTTCGAGCGCCCTCTAGCGACAGGATGAACATTTTCAAAAATGTATTTTGAATAGATGTCTGTGGCGAAGTTTGTCGGAATTGCCTAAATATTGGTGTATATGATGACCTTGACCCACTTAAGACGTGTGCAAGGTTTTAGGTGTATGACATCATCAGACCGGAAGTTCCATTGAAAAGACCTTTTCTTTTTCAAAAATTGCTAACAAATCAATCCGTACAGATAAAATCTTGAATTGCCCATTAAATGATAGCGTAAATATTTGCCTCAACAGTGCCAAGTTCCCAGCTTGTCAAATTGTTCACACAGTTGACGCGGCGTCGGAAAAAAAAACCTTGAATAATTGATTTTTCCCATTTTTCCACAAGTCTTTTCCTATACAACACTGATATATCTTACTGAGTAGTTCTGAACTTCAGCCGAGAATTATTATGAGAAGGAAAGAGAAATCGTATTTTTATGCTCTGTCATTTGATTTAAAATATTCCCAAGAGTCAGAATATCAAGTAATATTTCATAAAAATGTTTAAGTTTAAAGGCAAATCACGTATTTAAAGGTGCAGTTTTTCTGCAGTGGGATTTCTAGCCTATTGACTTTGTACACGTTTTTAAGCCACCATTTTTATAACTTGGCAATCTGGAATCGTCATCAATGTTACAGCCAAGGAAGACCCTTATACAAAAATTATGCCAAGACGATGACGTCATGATGACATCATCACCTAATTTTTTTAATTGATTTTTGAAAATTTAATGTTTCCCCATAGGTTTTGTACACATTTTCTATACAACACTGTGAAACCAGAGCCGAAGCAGCTGTGTTTGTCCACAAACACATTTTTAGTTTATGACATTTTGTTTGACCACTGAAACCGCAACTTCCGGTCAAACCAGAAGTACCTGACTCATCAAGTTTTAAAAGATGAGATGTATTTTTGCACATGTGATACAATTATTATAGGAATTATTCTAAGCATTTTGAACAAGCTTTAGCATGAAGCACTCTGAAAAGTGACTACAAAAGGACCAACAAAACATAAACATTTGTAAAATGCGAAAAAGCCATTTGCTCCGTCCGTAAGATGGACAAAATATCTAGTTGGCTTTTCCGCAAAGTTGCGGAAAAGCCTTTCTTTTTGTTCTGATATTTCTTTCTTCTTCTTCTTCTTCTTCTTTTTTTTTTCCCCTGGCAAATCCCATAGACTTTATACACGTTTTTTCTCAATGCCACTTTCGGCATTAATCTTTGTCGTACATCATTCAAAGTCAGCATAGGCATAGCCCCTATAGCAAAGTTGTGTCCCGAAAACTGCCGTCATGGTGACGTAATCGACTAATTTATTATAGATTTTTGAATATTTAATTTTTCCCATAGACTTTGTACACAAAAATTTTAAAAATTGTCGATTTTCAAAGGGCATTTTCGACTCTTTGCCAGTAACTCATTTAGATCACTCTTTGTTCAAGCAAAGACCTTAATTCAAACACATTTTGTAATGATGACGTCATGATGACGTCATCCGGTGTTTATTAATGGGCAATTAAATTGTGACACTTTTAATATTTAAAAATGCATAAGAAATCAACCGTACGCGTCCGCAACATTCTGTTGCCAGCAAGTGGTAGAGTAGGCTAAGGTCTTTATTTCATTCAGTGTGCGTGCAATCGCGTGACCCTTGCTTCCGGTCGAAAAAGGCCAAAACCGGAAGTGGTTTATTATTTAAAAGTGGTAATAGATATGAACTTGCTTTGAACAATGTTCGTCTCTTGGGTGATAGTATTCTTCAAATCATCTACTAATGATGTCATGCAATCTTCGAGCGCCCTCTAGCGACAGGTTGAAAATTTACAAAAAATGTATTTTGAATAGATGTCTGTGGCGAAGTTTGTAGGAATCGCCTAAATATTGGTGTTTATGATGACCTTGACCCACTTAAGACATGTGCGAAGTTTTAGGCGTATGACGTCATCAGACCGGAAGTTCCGTTGAAAAGACCTTTTCTTTTTAAAAATTGCTAACAAATCAATCCGTACAGATATAATCTTGAAATGCCAATTAAATGATAGCGTAAATATTTGCCTCAACAGTGCCAAGTTCCCAGCTTGTCAAATTGTTCACACAGTTGACGCAACGTCGGCAAAAAATACGCTTACGCAAGTTGCGGTACAGAGCTGTAAAACATGCACAGGACTTCCACAATGTGTATAGCACATGCACGTACATTGTACATACGCACATACATGTACATCGTATGTCAGTCAGCCCGCAGCGCACGTGTTGCTGAGGTCAAATCCTGTCCACAGTGACCGTTTAAAGCTATAGTCCATCATTGTAATTTGTGCATTTTGTTCGTTTGAAGCAACAAAAGAGTTCAAAATCTAATAAAGGATACTAAGCAACTAACCTGATAAAGTTTCAGCTAAGCTTCAGCTGTACATTCCGAGAAAAAACAGCATTCTAAGAACTCAATTTCAAATCAAAAGTTACTGAATCATGTTTTGAATTGCAGCTATACGCGACGTCGCGCACTGATCCGACGAATTATAACAACCGCGCGCACATGTGTGTCGTTCCAATACTTGCGCGCGCTGCGCTAAATAACAAAACGAACTACTAATTTAAATTTTCCTACGGTGCTTCTTAAGAATCACCGTTGGAAATGCCTTCTTTCGTTGATTACTTCAAAATGACAGCTTCCCAGAAAGAATAATTTCACAGGGAGTTTAGTTTCCTTACTATCTTTCAACTAAGTTTGTTTTTCAACAATAATTACGCCAGTTACTTTTCGGATGGCTGCAAATGATGGACTATAGCTTTAAGCCGATTTTTCGGCTAACTTTGACAGAT